GCACCCCACCCCGCCGCCCCGCCCTTCCCCCCAGACGCGCGGGGCGGCGGGTGCCCGGTTCCGCCCGACCCGCGCGCGGGCTTGCACCCGCAGCCTTGCGCTGGTCCTGGAGCCGCGCCGGCGGCTTAGCGCGTCACCTCTCTCTGGGAGCCCCGGCTCCGGCCACGTCCCGGCCCCAACCTTTGCCCCGCGGCCGGCGAGGCCAGGGCGCCACCTGCCGGGCGGGGCCCGCACGAGGTCCCCTGGGACCCTTGAGGCAGGGCTGGCGCGAGCCTCCTACCTGGGCGTCTCGCGCGCCGGGCCTGCCGAGGGCCATGCGGCCGGGACTCCGTAGCGGGCGGGCGGGGTTCTCGCCCGGTGCAGCGCCGGGATCCGGAGTGGGGCGGGGCGGGGCGGGGCGGTCCAGTCCCTGCTTCCTGCTTTCCAGGTGCGAAGGTGGGGAGCAAAAGGCTTGGAGTCAGGGCCGAATGCACAGGAGGGCAAAGGGAGCCGCCCAGGCGCCCGGGAAGGACAAGGAGGGTCGGGTTGATGGGGTCAGGGACGACCCTACCCCCGGCAATAAGGCGATAGGGCTCTTTCACAAGGACAACGTGGCGCCAGTGGGTTAGTGCCGGCCAGACCCCGACAGGTAGAGATTTTTCAGGCTGTGGCATCGACGTGGGTGGCTGGAAGGACTTGGAGGGGTGTGCCGGGTGTCCAGTCAGAGACAGGCTAGAACAAGTGGGTCAGAGGGCAGGTGCAGCAGGAACCTGCTGGGGTGGCCGCTCTGTAGGTGCACCATCTCCCCTCTGGTTCACTGATTGCAGATGACGCCCTTGCTTGCATTCTGGTGAGCTGAGCTTGGACTTACCCGGTTCCTGCTAGGGTCTCCTCTTAACAAGGCCCCACGCCTGCCCATCTGCCCACTCTTACCTGCTCAAGTGGGTCCTGGGCTTCTCCAGCCCCTTACACGGGGCTTGCCCCTCCTCTTGGCTGTCCCCACCTCTTGCCCTAGCTTTGTAAATGACCTTCTTTAGATCATGTTTTCTGTGTGACTTCTTTCTGCCAGGACCCTGACTTCCTCCAAGGAAATGGGGAGGCAGAGATGGTGCCCAGGTTCTGCCTGGATGTCTAGCCAGCTGGGCCCTCTCTCTAGCCTCCGAGACCTAAGCCAGGAGAGCAGGTGTGGGTGTCAGTAGTTGGGTGTTAGTCCTCAAGGAGCAGGGCCCACAGGGAAGGACAGAGGCCACCTTGGTCCAGGCCAAAAGACTGTAGGGAACTGGAAAAGAAAAACCAGAGAGGGACATGGCCCCAGTTCTCCCAAATTGCTCCACGTGGAATGCAACCCCGGGAAAGTACTTCAGGATGGTTTTGGAAATGCATGAGTAATTCTGAAGTGCACTCATTACTGGAAAGCTGCCAGTCAAATCCAGAGGAGATGCCACCCCACAACCCTTAAGATGGCCACCACCCAACCCCAGCAAGTGAAGCAGCAACATGGAAAAATAGGAACCCTCCTGTGTGTGCAGTGATGGGACTATCATATGGATCAGTCATTATGGAAAGCAGTGTGACAGCTTCTCAAAACATCCAACAACTCTACTTCTGGGTATATACCCAAAAGAATTTAAAGCAGGGGCAGGAACAGATACTTGTGCACTGGTGTTCGTAGCTGCAGTACTCAAAGTTGTGCCAGCAATCACAGTGGCTGCAGATGAAGGGATAAGCTCAGTGTGTGTGTGTGTGTGTGTGCGCGTGCGTGCGTGCGTGCGTGTGTGTGCCACTATTAAATCTCCAGATGGATAGAAATTCTGACCTTGCTACAGCATGAATGAACCTTGACAAAGATACTGTGCTGAATGAAATAAGCTGGTCATACAAAGGCAGCCACTGCGCAGCTACGCTTGCGGCAGGCCCTCACCAGACTTGAGCTACAGAGGGCTGGGGGACGAAAGGAAATAGGCGCTCTGAGGGCAGTTTCAGTTTGGGAAAATGACAGAGGTCCGGAGGGAGACACTGGCAACGGATCCAGTCCTTATTGCCCCAAACTGGTTATTTTAAATGGTTTAGTAAATTGTATGTTCCAGAACTCTTGCTGTAATAAAAAAAAAAAAAAAAAAAAAAAAAAAAAAAAAAAAAAAAAAAAAAAAAAGGGAAAGAAAAAAAAAAAAAGACTCTGGTGCTGCTAGGGAGCTGCACTGGCCACAGGACCCATCAGAGCATTTTGTCACAGGCTGTTCACAGCACAGGAGTTGGAGGTCTTATGTGGCCACTTCATGTGTGACTATGTGGGCGTTTAAATTGATGCAGAGCTGGGCATGGCTGAATCAAAGGTGCTAGAGATGCCATGCTGGCCCCTCCCCCAGGGCGCACTGAGATGGCAATTGAGACTGGGCATGGTGGCGCACGCCTGTAATCCCAGCTCTTGGGAGACTGTAAACAGGTGGATCACTACAAGTTTGATCTAGTAGTGAGACCCTGAACACCCTGTAGACCCTTCCCTAAAATAAAAAAAAAAAAAAAAAAGATGCTAGGAAACCAGCAGCTAGAGCCAGCACAATAGCTCAGCAAACTAAGTGCCTGCTTAGGCAAGCACAATGGTGCACACCTGTAATCCCAGTGCTGGGGAGACTGAACACAGGAGGATCACTGTGAGTCCAAGCTGCCTAGTGAGACCCTGTACCAAATACATAAACAAAAAGAGAGAGAGAGAGAGAGAAACTGGGCACCTGCCCACAGAAAAACCTGCCATTGCCCCTGCATCCAGTCCTCATGGGAAAATGAATTCTATATGGTCAGAGAAATAACTGCAAAAAAACATGAGACCATTTAATACTCTCAGGATGAGGAAAGTTTTTATAAGCCTGACAGAAGTGGAAGCTGTTAAAAAAAAAAAAAAAGTTTTTGAAAAGTTTAAGTTACAAATGGCAATACTTACATTGTTGATATTGTTTAGTTGTTTATTTTGAGATGGGGTCAGTTTTACTATGTTGGCTATTCTCTTTTATTGTATTCTTATGGGAGAAAGCCAGGAGACCATGGGTTCCCGATGAATGCGGCAGAGAAGAGGGAGTGTCCAGTGGGTGAGGTGGCTTGGGACAAGGCTGCTCTGGGCCTGAGGTGGCGCCTGCAACAGAGACACAGCATGCAGATGTCTCCTGGGGGGATCCAGGGGCTGCATAAGGAGAGGCCTGGCACCCTGCAGTCCTCCGCATGCTAGAGTCAGCGCCCTGTTGGGAGGACAGCTTGTGCCCTCTTCTCCTTAACATGCTCTGCTATCCAGGGCCTGATCAGAGGCCCTGGGGCCTCTTGGCCTCCAGGAGCAGCAACTGTGGAACTCCGAGGTGCTCTTTGTGTAGATTTCTGCGTGTAGTCGCTCGTTTGCTGAGCAGTTGGTGCTTCAAACCTCAGCTGGGCTAAGTGGTGCATACACCTGTAGCCTGGGCACTCTGAAAGGCAAGGCAGGAGGAGCAGAAGTGTGAGCCCAGCATGGGCAATTTAGCAACTTATTAAGACCTAGTCTCGAAATAAAAAATAAGAACAACAACAACAGCCACAAAAAGATCAATGCTAGGAGTGTAGCTCAGTGCAAAGGCCCCGGGTCCAGTACCACACGCACGGCTTCCAGCTACCAGCAGGACCCTAAGAACTGGCACATTTGCTGTCAGTTGAGAAAGAAACTCAGAGCTGGCCCGAGAACCAAGGACACAGTGGTGTCTATACAGGACACAGGGCATGCAGGTTCTACAAGTCAGGCTTGACACCAGCTCTGTCTCTGCCAGCAACCAGAAGCCACAAGTCAGCTATAGCCAGGTGCTGGGCTTCCTGGGTCTGCTGTGTGCTGCCTATCTGTCCAGTCCAGGAGCAGGGAGGATTTTTGATTGTGTGTTTGGCTGCTGCAGGCCAAGTCCCAGGGGCTTGGGCTGTCTGCCTGTTGTCACCTTGGACAGTTGGGGCAGGGTAGTGTAGCCCCTGCAGGCCTCCCTAAGGCTCCCCATCAGTAGAACACAAATCCCCATGACCTTCCAAAAGTCAGGTGGACATGGAGCCATCTCCCCTCAGGGCTGAGGGTCACCCCTACCCTCCACTACACACACCCCTAACGCTGGGGTTCCTTCCATAGATGAGGCACAGAGGAGGGAGAGGGAGCCATCTCCGTGCCTCAGTGGGACCTGCTCTCAGGGGTTCATCGGCCCACCTGTGCAGACCCTCACATCCGTCTTCACTCCACCACCTGCCTCACAGTGCTTCACTCCAGTTCCTTCCAGCACAGGCATGGGGACAGCTTGCGACCTCGGGGAGCAGGCCAAGCAGGGCGTGGGCACACTACTAGTTCCAGGCCGAGGAGCAAGAGGCGAATACATGTCGGGGAGTGCCTGCGTCTGCCTCTGAGAGTGCTGCTCCTGCACTGGGATATTGGGCGAGTGTGACACACTTGCGCTTGCTGCTGTGCTGGGCACCACTGGTGTATACAGCTGTAGCAGCCATCCTGTGACCAAGAGGGAAAGACCTGGGATACAGTGGGAAGGCACACCCAGGCCCTGCCAGGGCTGCTCTGGACCCAGCACCAGCGACGTCCTTGTTCTCACTAAAAGAACAAGCAGGCATTCTGTTATTAAAGGTGTCCGTTGGAGTGGGGATGGGTGTTCACTCAGGAGGGCTGTCATGCTGTGGTATGCTGCCTCAGCTTCCTCCAGTCCTGCTCTTGTGGTGCTGGCCAGGGGAGTTTCTGTGAAAGGCGAGGCAATGTGTCCACTTAGTGATGGAAAGATTTTGGCAGTACTGAGGATTGAACTTGGGCTTTTGCACCAAATGACTAACCTGTTTTTTATTTTGAGTCAAGGTCTTGCTAAAGTACCTGAGTTGAGCTCAAAGTGGGAATCCTGCCTCAGCCTCTTACAGTGCTGAGATTAATGGTATGTGCTACCAAGCCTGGTTTACATATCTGTTCTTAAAATGTGTTCCCCTTGCCTTCCACCTCCTGTGGTTCTCATGACCACTAGTAGGAGCCAGAACCTACCCAGGAAAGTCTTTTCTTTAGGGCTGGTGTATCTGGGAGTCAGATCTTTAACACTGTTTCAGAAAGAACTGTGTATTGTTCACATTTGACATTACTATAACGAAATACCTCAGAGAGGCTACTTTATAAAGAAAAGAGGCTTATTTGGGCTTACTGTTCTAGAAGCCTGGCCCAGGGCTAGGTGCACACACGTGTGTACCACTCTGCTCTCCGTCCTTATGACACCACCAGGATTCCGTCACGGGCTCTGCCTCCTGACCCCCCACAAGCTTCCTCCTCTAAACACTACAGTCCGATCGCATTTCACCATTGGAACAGCTCACAGTGGACCAGAGCAGCAATTCTAGGTACAGCTACATGG